ACTATTCTAAAATATTCAAGAGGAGGGAAGACTTCCAAACTCATTTATGAGGCCAGCATTATTCTACTTCCAAATCCAGATAGAGACATGACAAAGAAATAAAATTATAGGCTAATATCCCTAAATGATATAGATGCTAAAATCCTCAACAAAATATTAGCAAATCAGATCCAGCAATACACCATGACCAAGTGGGATTTATTCCAGGGATGCAAGGTTGACACAATATTAGCAAATCAATACACGTGATACATCACTTAAACAAAATGAAGGATAAAAACCATATGATCATATCCACAGAGACAGAAGAAACATTAGATAAAATCCAGCACCCACTTATGATAAAAACTCTCAGAAAAGTAGGAATAGAGGAAACATACCTAACATAATAAAGGCCATATATGACAATGCTATAGCCAACATTATACTCAATACAAAAAAATAAAAATATTTCCCTTATAATCAGGAACAAGATAGGGTTGTCTTCTTTTATTACTCTTAGTCAACATAGTACTAGTAGTACTAGCCACAGCAATCAGACAAGAAGAAGAAATAACAGGCATCCAAGTTGGTAAGAAGGAAGTAAAACTGTCATTATCCGCAGATAATGATATTATATATAGAAAACCCTAAAGACTCCACCAAAAATGACTAGATCTAATAAATGAATTTGGCAAAATAGCAGGATAAAAATATTAATATTCAGAATTTGGTGGCATTTTTGTATACCAATAATAAGTTACCAGAACAAGAAGTTAAATAAAAAACAATCCATTCACTATTGCAACAAAAAATAAGGTACTGGGAATAAATTTAACTAAGGAGCTAAAAGACTTGTACTCGAAAAATTATAAGATACTGAAAAAAAGAAATTGAGAAAGATACCAATAAGTAGAAGCACATACTATGTTCATGAATAGGAAAAATTAACATCATTAAAATGTCCATGCTACCCAAAGTAATCTACAGATTTAACGCAATTCTTATTAAAATACCAATGGCATATATTACAGATCTAGAACAAATATGACAAAAATGTATATGGAACCACAAAAGACCCTGGATAGCCTCAGCAATCTTGAGAAAGAAGAACAAAGTTGGAGGGAACACTACCTGATATCAAACTACACTATAAGGCCATAGTAACCAAAGCAGCATGGTATTGGCACAAGAACAGGCATATAGATCAATGGAACAGAATAGAGCCCAGAAATAAATCCATGCCTTTAAGGTTAATTAACATTTGACAAAAGAGGCAAGAACATACAATGGTAATAAAGACAGTCTCTTCAATAAATAGTGTTAGGACAATTGGACAGATACATACAAAAGAAGGAAACTAGACCAGCAACTTACACACACACACACACACACACACACACACACACACACACACAAATAAACTTAAAATGGATTAAAGTCTTAAATGGAAATCACAAAACCATAAAAACCCTAAAATAAAATATAGGCACTAAGTATAAAATATACCCAACTGATGAAGAATGTATAGTATCTCATTAATAATTTTTATATTGATTATATGTTGAAATGACAGTATCTTGGGTATATCGGGTTAAATTTTTAAAAATTGCTTTCACTTGTTGTTTTTTTAAATGTGACTACTAGAGAATTTAAGATTACATATGTGGCTCACATCCTGTTTCCATGGACAAGTGCTGTGCTAGAGAAGAGTCCTGTGGCCCCTTCACTAGGGAAAAAAACTCCAAAAGGGCAGGTACCATGTCTCTCCCCTGCTCTGCACCAAGCCTCTGGGTCCCATCCTCTGGAGGTGGATGAGTGCTTCAAAGTCTTCCAGGGCTTAGGTGAGGGTACAGCCATTAAGGTGCTTGGAGGATATCGCATGTTTCTTGTCCCTGGTTACCACATTGGAATCATATGAGGAAGCTTCCTCCTCTACTCTCCATGCAAAGATTTCCCCCTGGAAGTAGTTCTCAAGATGCTAATACCAGGCTCAACTATTACAAGGATGCCATTTGCCAGTGCTGCACTGATCCTTACACAACCCTGTAGGGCAGCCATATGTTCCAGCTTACAGAAAAGGAAATAAGGCTCCAAAAGGTTAGAAATTTGTGGAGCTCAACACAGCTTTCTAAAGAGGACCACTAGGGGGTCAAAAGGCTGCATACAGGAATTATACTCAACGCCAGGACCTCTGCTCTTTCCAAGTAAGAGCACAGCAGAGTTGGCAAGGAAGCAAGGGGGCTGTTAGCTTCCCTCTGTAAGAGTCAGGGCTAGTGTGGCACAGTAACAAGTGGGCCTTTCTAGGCCTGTGGTCTGTGGATGGTCCCAGCCTACACATTGGCTGAAACTGGCCTCTGATGCAGAAGCAGAATGTGCAGAAGGCCATTCACAATTAAAGAGGCTGCAACCTTCAGGCCATTCTCTCAATCTCCTACAAGACACACAACATCTGAAATGGTCTGTGCCTTAGTCTTCCCAAAATAAAATCCAAGGGGTTGGGAGGCTCTGCCTTCTCTCATTCTGCTATACCCCTCCTGCCTTGTTCCGCCCCCTGTCCTAAGTATCACGGCCAACTAAAATTTTTCTTGCCTAGTTGTGATATCACTTCTAACTTCTTCAACAATGGGAATTGAAAAAAAAGGTTTGATATGCCTCCCCTGCGATCCTAACCTACTCCACTCCTTTAAAATAGATCATAGAAAACCAAGGCTAGCCCAGGTTTTAGAGACAGACCACTGAATTCAAACACTTTACAGAAGCAGAGGTCCAGAGGTTTAAAGTCACACATCTGACTGGTCAAAGGTAGGAACAGAAGCTTAGATCCTTGTCTCACAATTGCCCATTTCCCTGCTCCAAAATGAATGTCAGAAATGGGGTGTTATAGGCTGAATTTCTGTGTCCCCATCCAAATCCATAATGTTGAAGCCCTAACCTTACTACCCCCACTATGACTGCATTTGGAGACAGGGCCTGTGAGGAGGTGATTGAGGTTCAATGAGGTTATAAGGTCAGGGCCCAAATCCAATAGGGTGGTGCCCGTATAAGAAGAGGAAGGGACACTGGAGAGATATCTCTCTCTCTCTCTCTCTCTCTCTCTCTCTCTCTCTCTCTCTCTCTCTCTCTCTCTCTCTCTCTCTCTCTGCCATGTGAGGACACAGCAAAAAGGCAGCTATCTGCAAACTAGCATGAGAGTCTTTACCAAAAACCAAACCCTATTGGACCTTGATCTTGGACTTCCAGCCTATAGATCTGTGAAAAAATAAATTTCTATTATTCAAGCCACACAGTCTGTTCCGGCAGCCCAAGCTAACTGATTCAAGAGGATAAAATAATTTTTATTTGTGCACCTTCACTCAAAGTGTGGGCACTGAAAAATGCACAACGTAGGGGAAAGAAGAGCACCAGGCAGCCTGAGATGAGGGCCACTCAGAGACTCTGACCGGGACGACTTTCCATCTGGAATGCCCTCACCCACAGGCAGGTAAAGGTCATTAAAAGGAACAAGTCGCTCAGTTAAAGAATTTGGGGAAACCATCCAAACTATGCATGTTCTGTTCTGGAAAACGGTCTGTCCTCCTATGATGCAGGGAAAACATTGGCCCAGGTGCCCCTTGCTCCCTTCTGGAACCTTCCCTGGCTACCCGAATCCTCATATCTGGTGTTCTCTGAAACCCAGGTTGGGAGGAAAGTCTTCTGAGAGAGGAGAAAGTGACTGTGACCCTCTGGGTTATAAGCCCTTAAAAAGGCCCGGGAGGGACCAGGGAACCTGTCATCATCTGAGGGCCTGTCAACCCCCATGTCCACCCAACATCAGGTTTTCGAGCATCAGCCCACAGCCTGGACTGGACGTGTCCTCCCCCGGGGAGCACTTCAGCAAAAGAAACAGCTTTACTTATGGTCAAATTGAATAGAATTTTTAGTATTAAGAAAAGAAAAAGACAAAGTAACTAATCACTGTTAGCATATTGGTGTGCTTATATATTTTTTTGAGTTTTACAAAATCTTTTATAATGGGCATGTATTACTTTATAATGATGACAGTTAACACTGTTCATTCATTCTCTAAATATTTCAGCATCTCTCATGAGCCAGGAGGTTTTCCAGATGCAGGAGATACAGCAGTAAACAAGACCAAGTCCCCTCCTCCCGCCTCCCCAGGACCCCAGAACTGGGGCAGAGGGGACAATACAATGTAAGTCCTAGAAGTAACGATTCAGGTGGAGTGAGAAATGGAGAGTCCAGGGGTGGGGTGGTCAGGAAGGGTTTTCTAAGAAGGGGACATCTGAGCAAAGACCTGAAGGAGGTGAGGGGCCGAGCCAGGTGAAGGGCTAAGGAAAGAGCTCTTCCTTTAAATGAGAAATGCAGGGGGGAGCCCCGAGGCCTGACCCTAGGAAGAGCAGAGGAGTGGCAGGGCAGGCGAGGAGTGGCAGGAGATGGTCTGGAGAGCCAGGCAGAGCCGACTGGGCAGGGCTTTGGAAGGAGTCTGGGCTCTGTCTCCGTGTGGAGAAGTCAATGGGAAGAGGGAGCCGGACAGGGAGGTGATGTGCAGTTTGGCAAACACTATCTCCTGGGATGCCTCCCTCCTTTGCAGGGACCACATTATCCCCATTAGACTAAAAGGTCCTGACTTGGCAGGTGTTGCTCAGTGGTTAGAATGTCAACCCATGTACCAAAGAGTTGAGGATTCGATTCCTAGTCAAGGGCATGTACCTGGGTTGCAGGTTCATTCTTAGCCCACTTTGGGACACATGCAGGAGTCAACCAATCAATGTCTCTCTCTCGCATTGATGTTTTTCTCTCTCTCTGCCTCCTGCTTCCCTCCCTTCCCTCTAAAAAAAAAAATCCGTGGAAAAAATATCCTCCTGTGAGAATTAACAAAATAAAATAAAAGGTCCTGAGTTCAGGGATGGATGTATTTTCTCTTGTGGGTTCCTTTCCTAAGAGAGGGCTGGAGCAGGAACTATGGGCCTTGCGAAGCCAGACGGCTCCGACCAGGGCTCTCACCTCCTGGGACTCACCTTCTACCGTCAACTCCACTGTCACCTGGCGGGCACCGCTGCCATTGGTGGCTTCGCAGGTATACTTTCCCTTGTCCTCCTCCCGGACAGCGTGGATCACAAGGCTGAAACTCCCGCGGATGCCACAGTCCAGCAGGAAGCGGCCGCCACTGGTGATGGGCTGCCCATTTCTGTGCCACGTCACCTGGGGCTCTGGGTAACCTCGGACCTTCAAGAAAAAGAAGAAAGGGTGAGAGCTTATATTTAAAGAGTACTTCCTGTGTTCCAGGTACTGTTCTGAGTCCTTTACATGTGTTAACTCATCTACCCTCATAGCAACCCTTGAAGCAGATACCATTTCCATCTCCCTTTTAGACATGAGGAAATTGAGGCCAAAGGGTTTGGGTAGACTTCCCAGGGTCTTGAAGGTAAGAAAGTAGCAGAGGCAGGTAGCCTGGCTTCAGGGCCCACTACACAAGAGCCTGGTTGCATATGAGAAGCACCTGAGGGAGCTTTGAAAAATACAAATGCCCATGCCCTACCTTGGACCAGCTAAATCAGAATCCCAAAGGGGTGGGAGTGAGCATGGGGAGTCTAGACCAGTGCTTCCTACTCTGAGATGTAAATAAATCACTTGGAGAAATGCAGATTCTGCTTCTATAGGCCTTGGAAGGGACCTGAGACTCCACAGACAAGCTCTCAGAGGATGTGGAAGCAGCTGGTCCCCAGAATTCACCTTGAGGAGCAAGATTCTAGCTCTGAACTGCTGGGCAGTTCAGAGCTAGAACGGCACCACGAGCCACTTGTGTGAAGGAGCACTCGAAATGTGGCCCTTCCTAAAGGAGCTGTACCATGAGCATAAGTTAAACACTGGGTTTTGTAGATTTAGTATAAAAAAAATAATGTAAAATATCCCAATAATTCAAAAATACTGATTACACATTGAAAAGAAAGTGTTTTTGACATGTTGGGTTAAATAAAATATATTGTTAAAATTTATTTCACCTGCCCTCGCCAGTGTGGCTCATTTGGTTAGGCATCGTCCCATGCACCGAAAGGTTGCAGGTTTGATTCCCAGTCAGGGCATATGCCAGGGTTGCAGGCTTCATCCCTGGTAGGGGGTGTGGAGGAGGCAACTGATCAATGTTTCCCTCTCACATCAATGTTTCTTTCTCTCTCTCACTCTCCCTCCCTCTATCTAAAAATCGATTTAAAAAATCTTTAAAAGTATTTAATTTCATCTGTTTCTCTTTACTTTTTAGCGTGGCTACTAGAAAAGTTACAATGACATAAATGCATTGCATGGGGTTTCTATTGGGCACTGCTGCTCTAGACCGCTCAGTCTTCCTCTAATAACAGTAAGCACCTAACCTCTTTTGAGGGCTAAGTATTTTAAGTAAGCACTTCTCTAAGTACTTTATGCATCTGAACCTCATAGTAACTTGTTCAGAGCAGCAGTCACCAACCGGTGGTCCACAGACTGCTAGTAGTCCATGAGGTCTAAAAGATTGGCAACTGTTGGTTTGCAGTGTTTCCCAAAGTGTGGTACGCGTACCCCTAGGGGTACGAGAAGAGTTTGGTGAGAGTACGCATTGCACCAGAGTTTGGTGGGGATATGCACTGCTCCGTGCTTAGCTGCGCCTAATTCTACGTTCTCATGAGTACGAGGGGTACTCAGCGTTACAAAAATTATAGAAGGGGTACACATATGTCAAAAGTTTGGGAAACACTGGTTTAAGAAAACCTTTGGAGCTGTAGTCACCAACCGGTGGTCTATGGACCACAGGTTAGTGAGGTCCAAACGGTTGGTGACCACTGGTTCAGAGGATATTTCCCCAAAGAGAGGGAAATGTAGACAGAAGTAAATTCCAAAGAAAGAAATCACTTTGAATTTCAGAGAAAGTTCCCCAAAGACCCTCAAATCCTTGAAACTCAAAAGGCCCTTTAGAACAGACTAATCTTCGGAGGAGCAAGGCTCAAACTGGCCCATGGATACACAGCCTGGGACCCAGAACTGGGGTATTTTAGCACTGGAAATCCACAGAAGACACCACAGAAACCTCTTGAGAAAGACAATATTTGTATTACAAAACATGGTAGCAATGGTTTTACTCATGGATCTATGCCAAGACAAGAGAGAATGCAGGTGAAGAAAACCAGAATTCACTGGATGACCCCAAATTGCATTCACAGTGATAGTCCTCAGTGACCTATAGAATAATCCTCCCCCACCTCCTAGTAAGGTCAGAGGGGGTGCTCTGTCCACTGGCAGGGGAGGGCAGTTAGGGGCGATCAGGCAGGCAGTGGGAGAAAAGGGAGAGGTGGCGTATGCATGCACACTGGGCATCCTAACATAGTTAATTCCCAAAGCAGCTCGGGAAGAAAGACTGCGAAAAGCAGCAGTAGTCATCTTTGGGCTGTGCTTGCTGCCCTTCCCAGGCGTCCAGCCCCCAACTCATCCTGAGACTCATTTCTCAGTTACCAGATGTAGATATCTTCTTAGGAAAGGAGCCTGGAATAACAGGTAAATCATCACCAAGTAAATGATCACCCTTCTGTGCCATGTTATGAGTCTCACAAGGCCTGCCTCTCATCCTTACTAATCTGTAGTCAGGCTTCAATGAAAACCAAAGCCAAAACAAACAAACAAACAAAAAAAACCAACAACTCTCTAAACCACTATTATCTATCATATCCATGATATTTGGAAACAAAGAAACATCTCTTTCCTATCAAAATCTACACTATAGCCCACCTGGTGTAGCTCATTGATAAAGTTCCCCATATTTTAAATATATTTTTTTAAAAATCTACACAATACTCATGACGGAGGCTGACTTTCTGTGAGGGAATGGTTATTCTGAAGTCCTTTCTCCCAGAGGCAGACAGGGATGTGGGAAGCCACTGCAGCCTCACCAAGGCACAGTGTCCCATCTGACGGGACTGCATCAATTCTCTCATCTATACTAATAAAAGGGTAATATGCTAATTAGACCAGGTCAACCGACCATCTTCTGGAAGTCCAACTTCCTTCTGGACAAAAGCATGGTGGTGGGGGGTGAAACAGGGCAGGCAGAGGCAGTTAGGGGCGATCAGGCAGACAGGCAGAGGGGTTAGGGGCAATCAGGAAGGCAGGCAGAGGCAGGTAGGGGCAATCAGGCAGGTGGGCAGTTAGGAGCCAGCAGTCCCAGATTGCAAGAGAGATTTCAATTGCTGGTTTAGACCCGATCCCACAAACTGGCAGTTGGACATCCCCCAATGGGTCCCTGATTGAAGAGGGTTCAGGATGAGCTGAGAACCACCACCACCACCACCCCATGCACCAATTTTGTGCATCAGGCCACTAGTCTATTATAATATGAAACAAAGAACAAATGGCAGTTGTCTCTGTGTCTCTCCTCTTTTCCTTTTAGTTAACTATTATTCTCTGATATTTCTGCAAACACACCTGAATTTTGTAAAACAGAAAAATAATTTTCCCCATGTTGCTCACTGTTAAAAGGGTCACTGGCAGGTAAAATAATAATAATAATAATAATAATTATTATTATTATTATTATTATTTAAATGAAAATGTGTTCCTTTTATATTAGTGTGATTACATAATGATTGTATAGCACAAACACTCAGTAATATGTGGAGTCCCTCAAAGTACTTAAATCTAGCAATGGGAATAAAAACACTGCTCAAATAAACATTATGCCTGCTTGAAGATGACAAATGTCATGTGCCTATATACTACGGTGTCATCTGGTGGCACTCACTTGGCACAAAGGTTCATGCAAAGGAATATCAGGCAATGATTATTCTGTTACAGCACAGCTCTTCTGTAAATTACTTTCAGGAAACAATGAAGGAAAAGAAACCCTTTCCTATGGAAGAAGCCCTTGAGGAGTATAGTCATGTGGTGAATTTGCAAATTCTCATTATCTTCTCCATCCCAACAGGCAGGGCCAGCCTAATTCAGAAGAGGATCACCAGCCTTCTGTGAGCTTCAGAGAAAGGAGAGTCCTGCACTGGGCACAGATAAATCATTAACTGCACCAGAGGCGTCCGGACATTCCATTAGCAAGTACTCTGGCCCCCTGCAGCAGTGCCAGCTCTGGTGGCCCATCGGGGCCTAGAGCATCAATGATTAACTGGGGACACTACGAAGTGTTCCAGACCTCAGGCAATCTTCTCATTTCTTTCTCTCTCTCTCTCTCTCTCTCTGTCTCTCTCTCTCTCTCTCTCTCTCTCTCTCTCTCCCCCCCCCCCCCCATCTGAAATGTCCTGTTAAAATAAATATTTAGGGATTTCTTTAAAATGCTAAAACTGGCACCTCTCAGAAAGCTGTAGTGTGCAATGGGACTTTTGTTCCCTCTGCATCCAAAGCAGAGGCAGGAATTCCCATGACCTTGCTCTAGTCCAAGGTCTGAATAATTTGCAGCTCCAGTTCTTATCCTCCCGATATGGGAAAAACATGTTCAACCACTACTTAACATGACGCAAAAATTATTCAGCTTTAAGGAAACCCATTTTTACTGTCTGCCCACTCTCCAGGGCTCCTAGGTGGGGGAGGGGGGATAGAGAAGCCTGCGCTCACATCCTTGGGGTGCATGACAACAGCCCTGCCCTCCCTGGGCGCTTTATCTGCCTTCATCACAGGCCTTGGGCCAAGAAGGTGTAGCTGGTATTTTTATAGCCTGGCCCGAGACCACACTGAAACCCCACTGGTACTTCAGTTTTCAGAGGGCCTCCGCATACAGAATCTTATTCGATTCTTGGAACACCATGAGGGAGGTGTCTTGGATTGGGTTCCCCAAAGGCAGAACCCGATATAGGGATTGAGGGAACCCTGACTGCAAACCCACAGCCAACAATAACAGCAGCGGGAAACGGGGGTACCCGCCTGGGGAAGGGGTCCGGGTGGAGCACCATGGCACCTGTGGCAGCACACAGTGCCATTCACATTGGTCAGCCCAGAGAGCCAAGGAAAGAGGCCTGGAGAAGTGGATGAATCGCCAGTGATCTCACCCGGGCAGATGAAGTGGCAGATCAGGGCAAGGATATCGGTCTCCAAGCTGAGAGGTTGTCTCTCTGTGCCTCATTGAAAATTCATGTTTTTCACGAGACAAATATTGTAGAATCCAAAGCATGGATGAGTGTCTTATCTCTAACAGACCCTAAATCTCTCCTGGACTAAAGCAATATCTGCTCCCGCTTTGGGAAAAAGCAACGTGTTCACAA